ATTATTATTACAAAATCATTAAATTAAATTACAAAACTGGCTTAAACAATGGGAGACCAGTATTACGTAGAACCAAAGAATTGCAAATTTTTCAATCGCGCTCCTTATGAAGTATCGTTTTTAATTTTTATTAGCTTGAAAGAAATTTCCTCCCATCATGCATCACCTCAGGCAAGGGGAAAACACTACATTAAAGATCCCCATGGATATCCCTAGTACAATCATCAGGTTCATCACAATCATGGTTTTAGAAACGAATAACGGCGTTACTGATCCTAGCCGTCGGAAGCTAAGATCCGACAGAAAAGAAGACAAGGACTCAGGTCGTTAATCAGCAAATTCCTTGTCAGAAGAACATAGATAAAGCGGTGCAATGCTATGTCCCTATCTCAGAAAAGCTAATGGTACTTATGTTGGTGACAGTTTATGCCAAATTGAATTTGATATAAGTTTATGCTAATGCGGTGAATGAAGACGAAGAAGAAGAGGCATTATTTTACCTAGGTATCGAAGAGACTCTGAGAATCACGAAAACAAGAGAAATCACGATAGTTCTAGATGATCTCAATGCAAATATTGGAAAGGGACAAAGCAGAAAGTGTATAGGAAACTATAGTCTGGGAAATCGAAACGAGAGAGGAGACCGTCTGTTACAAAAAAGTAGTCAGGAACCAGATAGACTATATTATGATCAATAAAAGATACCATAATGCTGTTAAATCCGTAAAAGCCTCAGATCACAGTCCACTTATCGCCAAGATTACACTTACCCTTAAGAATATTAAAAGACATCAAAGAATCCCTACAATAGACAGAAAAAGACTTTAAGATTTAGATTAAGACTTTAAGAAAACTTCGAAGAACCTAACGGAAAAGAATGGCTCCATGAACTTCATGTGAATTGCAGCAAATTGAACACAAACACCAATGATATCGACGAGTACTGGGATTGACGAGTACTAAAATATTGTCTACTCTACTGGAATCCTTAAAGAAATACTAAAAACTTCTACAAGGAGAAAAGAAGAATAAATGAATGACCAGATACTCAATATGATAAAACAACGGAGATAATTTAAAAACAAAGAAAACAGTAAATACAGAGAGATAAACTACGAGATCAGGAAGATGATAAAGCAGGCAAAAGAAAATTAACACCTACACAAGAAAATTAAAGAACTATCAGAACTAAGAAAACAAAATGCTACTGGTGTACTTCTGGATAGATACGGGACTACTATAACACTGACAGACGAGAAAGTACAACAATAGGCACAATATATCGACGAACTGTTCGATGATGCAAGAGGAGATCTGGAGCATATAGAACTTACGTCAAAAGAAATAGGTCCATATATTACAAAAGAAGAAATATTACACGCATTAAAAACAATGAATAGTGGGAAAAACCCTGGACCTGATATGCTTTCTATAGTAATCCTGAAAATTCTAGATGAGAAGCACATTGATGTTTTATTGACACTCTTGAACCAAATTTATACTTCAGGCGTATTAACCAAAGATTGGTTAACGTCGATTTTTATTTATCTCTATTTATCTATTTATCAAAAAAATGACAGCATGAATAGCTTGATGTCTTATGTGCTTAAGTTACTACTAAAAGTCATCGAATTCATAACCGAACATATCACAAACTGTAATATTGTTCTGAAGCTATTTTCTTGTGGCATTTTAAATTAATTACTATTTACCTGGGAATAAGACACAATTAAAGATAAAAAAATACGTTTATTGACGTTTCAATTTCCACTTAGGAAATCGTTCTCAAAATACAAATAGTAAATTAAACAAATTTTGTTTTTTGTTACATAGTGAAAAATTCTTCTAATAATTTAATTTTATCTGACTCATTTATATTGACAGTTCATATATACATTATGCATTTTAAAGTAGACGACTTTAAAATGATATTGCCTTAAAAAAAAATATTGTTGAGTTGCGCTCCTAGGACGACTTTACTTATAAGATAGTTCATTCGATTACATGAAATCAACTTTAACTTGAGAATATCTGTCCGAATAAAAAATCATAGCATGTAATTCGTCTTTAAAAAGACAAACACATGACATGATGACGGTAAAATTCTCCTGTTAGTGATTCCATAGTAAATTATGAGGGAAAAACCAGGAAAAAAACCTCATAATACTATCCCGACATGGTAAGTATTTGTTCGTGCATTTAGTTTACCTTCAATAAAAATCAAAGAAGCGGCTCTAATTATGCTAAATGAGGCCAATTGTGTCGCAAATTCCTCGGCAGAATGTAGTAGGATCTGGTTACCAATATTGAAAGAAGAAGTTATTAATAATAAAATACCAGTATTAGTAAGTCAGTAACATATAGAGGATACATCATTTATGTTTTTTAAATAACGACACATATAAAATCAGAATTTTGGTGTTTATTAAAGATAAACTAAATGCACGAACAAATACTTACCATGTCGGGATAATATTATGAGGTTTTTTTCTTGGTTTTTCCCTCATAATTTACTATGGAATCACTAACAGGAGAATTTTACTGTCATCATGTCATGTGTTTGTCTTTTTAAAAACGAATTACATGCTACGATTTTTTTTCTGACGGATATTTTCAAGTTAAAGTTGATTTCATGTAATCGAATGAACTATCCTATAAGTAAAGGCGTCCCAGGAGCGCAACTCAACAATATTGGCAATATCATTTTAAAGTCGTCTACTTTAAAATGCATAATGTATGTCTGAACTGTCAATATAAATGAGTTAGATAAAATTAAATTATTAGAATAATTTTTCACTATGAAACAAAAAAGAAAATTTGTTTAATTTACTGTTTGTATTTTGAGAACTATTTCCGAAGTGGAAATTGAAACGTCAATAAACGTATTTTTTTATCTTTAATTGTGGCTTATTCCCAGTTAAATAGTAATTAATATCACAAACTGGAGATAGACGTTAATAGACGAAGCAAATTGTGTATCTACGTATAACAAATAAAGAGGTTCTGAGAAGAATGAATAAAGAAATAAAAATTTAAAATACAATTAAAACAAAAAATTGGAATATTTCGGATATATTACACGTAGAAAGAAATAAACCTTAATCCAACTAATTATGCAGGGAAAGATCCAAGAAATGAGAAGCATAGAGAGGCCTGAATGTCATGGCTGCGCAACCTGAGAGAGTGGTACATCAAATGAACTTTTCAGAGCAGCCGTCTCAAAAACTCAAATAGCTGTGATTATTGCCGACATATGCCGCGAAGATGGCACTTAAGAAGAAGAATGTATTACCTCGGCGACCCTTTTTGTGGTTTATTAATTTTAACAAGTTTCCACAATGTTACTTATGCATAGATTAAACGTAATAAAATTTTAAATGAAAAACTAAAACGTTATTGACAAACTGCCCAAATTTCAGCTCTGTATGTGTATAAATAATTGCGCTGTGAATAAAAAAAATAAATTCGGTTCCATGGATCGTACCAACTTTCTTTCAAGGTGTGTTGTTTTTAACATTGCAGATGTTGTATTTTGTTTTTTTTTTTGTTAAAACGCCGCAGATAACTTAAATATATTATTATTATTATTATTATTATTATTATATAACAAATAAGGGCAGAGGAGCGAGCTCCTATTATGCCCAAAAAGCAAAAAATAAACAAAAATAAAATAGATCCTTATAAAACTAATACTAATTATAAAGTTAAGTAGTTAAACAATTAACGAAAATTGAATTGTGACACAATAAATAAATAAATAATGCTGTCCGAGAAAAAATATCCTATCCTATAAAAAAAATAAAGTGCTGTCAAGTTTGTTTTTAAAGATGTTAACACTAGCTGCCGATATGGTGTTTTGATCCAAATTGTTCCATATATTAAAGATTCTGTTTGGCAAGAAGTTCGCCCTGGACCTTGCAGTAGTTTGTTCCCTCTTTAATTTGTATTGATGGCCTCTTAATCTATCGTCTTCATTAAAAGTAAATATGTTGTTTAGGTTCCCAAAATTATGTTTTAAAATACGAAAGGACATAATTAGGTCACCTCGAAGACGTCGCTGCTCGAATGTCGTAAGATGAGCCATGAATAGTCTATCTTCATAGTTAGGTCTTACACGGCCGTATGCCAGTCTTGTGGCTTTACGCTGAACGTTTTCAAGTAAAATTTTATCGCGACTAAGATCTGGATTCCACACTGGTCCGGCAAACTCAAGAATAGGCCTAACGTATATTGAGTAAAGTTTACTAACAGAGGTTAGAGATATGCGTGCAAAACACTTACGAATCAAAAACAGTTTCGAGTTAGCACGTTTACACACCGACACTATGTGATCAGACCAATTTAAGTCACTATTAATTATCACTCCGAGATCGTTGTGTGAGGTTACAGAGTTTAAAGGATGTCCATTAATAAAGTACGGAAGTGATGGGTTATTTTTGCCGATATGTAAAACAACGCATTTTTCAATGTTAAGCGGAAGTAACCATTCTGAGGACCATTTGAATATTGCGTCAAGATCTTGTTGAAGAATATGTTGGTTAATAGTTGGATTCACATATAATTTAGTGTCATCAGCGTAAATGGAAACCTTACTGGATACAATGAGCGGAAGATCACTAGTGTAGACACAAAAAAGTAGCGGTCCAAGTACTGATCCTTGTGGAACTCCACTCTTGACTGGCTTATCTAATGAGTGGTCTTCCCCAACACGAACCCTGAAGTATCTGTCGGATAGAAAATCTTGTATCCAAATGTTTAATTTTCCGCGGATACCATAGTGATCCAATTTAGCTAGTAATCGACGTTTTGGAACACGATATGTATGGCTAAACACTACTAATTTGTAAGTAAACTATTAAAAATTAATATATTTCTTTAAAAACAATAAAACTGGAGAATTTACGACGAGAATAAGACCAAAACGCTTTTTAATTATTGAAAAAGCACTTGCACAGTCATAAAATCGTTGAAATCTTATGTTTACCAACTAGTTTACTTACCTTAATAGCTTCGTCATCTGTATCGAATATTCCTTGTTTTACTCTATTGATTTCTTTTTGGGTTACACCGGGAATGTAAAGTCTACAATTATCGTGCCACATTTGATAGTCAGTCTTCAATGGTTCACCGAAACTCTACAAATAAACATTATCTAAATCTAAAACATAACAAATATGTATATAGGGTGATCCTTAACTAATTCTACAAAAATAAACCGTAGATTTAATGCTTTAAAATATTACAATTTAAGTCAACTTACTTTAATAAAATGTTGATATAAGAAAGGTACAGGGTGTTTACGTAGAAATTTATAATTTTATTTTTCGCTATATAGTGAAGGACAAGATCTATGCGAAATTTTAAAACCCGACTTAGGGGTAATACGATATTTATACCTATTGTATAACAGAGACCCCCAAAGAGACATTTACAGAGTTTTACTAATCTTTTTCCAACATTCAAATAAAATTATCGTAGAATGTGTTGAATTTCGAAATATTAATTTATGTACTTAAATGTTTTTACCAATTGATCGAAATACTGACTATTTTTATTAAACTAGCTCATAATATAGTATTTAGAAAAATTGACTTTCACCTTTTTTCAAAATTAGGACTAACCCGTAATCGCTTTGTTTACATTTGTTTATCGGAGATAGTGACAAATAGACCAAGTGAAGTATAAATGAATATATTAACAAATCATCAGTAAATATCTATCACCGTCCTAATATAATCGAATTAACAAAAACACCAATATATTTTTTCACACTGCGATGCCACAAAAAGTTACCCATTGTTTTTTTTACTATTATAAATTAAATGGTATACTAGCCACTTCGGCAATTCACATTCATTTGGGATCTTCCAGTTAGAGTTAACAGTTATTCCAACTCATCGTCATTATCGTTCTCTTCATCACTCTCAGCCAAATAACAGTTTCTTCAAGGCTGGTACATTTTTCATGTAATCTTTTTCAATCTTCTTTACATGTTCTATTGAATTTTACCAGTTGTGAGCACTGATATTTGTGGACTCTGTTTTTATTAGTTCCACAACACTTTGGGCATCTTTTGGAGATGTGTTGTACCTCCGGACATGGTTTCTTAACTGAGTCCATAGAAATTCTATGGGATTCAACACACAATAATATGCAGGTAATATTAAAACCATATATTTCCATTCTTAGTGGCTAATTTATCTACAATATGTTCTTTAGTTACGACTTTTGTATGAAGAACCTGAATTAGTTGATCTTTGGTGTAATGATCTTCAAAATATAGGTCTTCGGCTATTAAATATTCTTTTATTTCATCCTTCCTACTCTGTTTGGTTGGATTCGTTTTAATGCATCTGGAGTGATATGATGCATTGTTCATAACAATCATGCTACTTTTTTTTTAATTTAGGAATAATGTATTCTCAAACCACGATTCAAAAAGCGTATCTTCGATATCTTGGTGGTAGTCTAGAGAACTGTCTTTATTACTTTTGGAACTCAACAATAACGCATAGTTCACTCATCCATGTTGTCCTCCGCAATGTAATATGCAATTAACTCAATAATAAAAATTAAGACTGGCAAAATAAAATATTTTTTCGTCACGAAAATAAAAATTTTCTTTTGGTTTTTTGAAAACCGTGCTAAGTTCGTCAATAAACATTTAATATTAATATATAATACGGTGAGGTCCCAAACTTCGGATAAATGTAATTTCTACGTAATTATAAAGTAGATGAAAACTATTAAACCAGGTTGATTTTTACACACAAAAATATACATTTACAATACCAAATCATCAGTAAATATCTATCAACACCAATTTATTTTTTTTTCGAACTTTATTTCCATTAATACCTTACTTACTTACTTACTTACTCCGTGGCGTTACAACCCTTTTATTGGTTATATATATATATATATATATATATATATATATATATATATATATATATATATATATATATATTTAGTGTATTATTTAAATATATAGTTTTTAATACAAATTAATACCTTTCACATTTATCAAACTCCAATGCTTAAGTGGCCAATCACTGTAACCTTTACCATACTAATTCAAGCGTAACAAGTGCGAGAGTTTAAAAAAGAAATAACTTAAGTGGCTTCAGATCAAAGACGAACATGTGTCAAACGGACAACTCCCTAACAGCCAATGAGAATGCTGTATTGTGATCACATGACTGAGAAATCAACATTGGCTTCCATTGCTTTTAACTTGTCTGATGTTATTCGTTTTATTTGTGTTTGTCACTAATTTAAACTGTTTTTTTTTAAATTATTAGTTTACAAAGATATTAGATTCATGGAATCAAATAAATATGTCAATCCAGGGTCGACACGTAAGAGGAAAAGCGATCCCGAAAAATTAAAAAAAAAAACATCAAGAAACGACAAAGGTAATTCTAATCATTGAACTCAATCATATACTTAACATTTGATTGCTGTAACAAATTGTCAATAGGTGGGTAGAAGTTTGATATCTTAGGAAGTTACTGTAGGTATATGTTTTTCCGAGTTATGAATAGTTTTTGAGTGATATAATAATGTCTGATTTTAAAATATGAAGTTAAAAAATTTGGCTGTAAAAACATGTCCAGCTTAGTACCTCTTGCTAAAGTTTTTCTTTAAATTGAAAGATTTCTATTAAAAATTCTGACTATTGACTTGAACAAATAGACTATTCATTGAATTAACATTAAAATTTAATTAATTTCTTCTTTTGTATGTTCATGCAGATACTCAGTCAAAGGTCTTCCTCTGCACCCCACCTGTCGTCACCGAGTTGGATACCAGTGCCATCTTTTAATAATGCATGGAGTTCAACAAAGCCTATTACTCCATCCCAGCAAAAAGCAAGCAAAATCCGTTTATTTTAAAATACTGTCGGACTGGCCCACCCAACACCAAAAGAAAGAAGCTTGAGCCTATAAAGGGGAAAACCACAATCTTTCAATATTCGATTCTAAACCAAGCTGCCAACAATCTCAACGTTTACGGGAATGCATTGTTCAAAGTGTTGCGGCCTAATACGAAGCATAGAATTATAGGAGTGTTCCGAAAATTCAAAAACGATGTATCTCATGTCCAGTGGAAACTGGGTAAATTACTGGGTACAATTATGGTAAAGAAGAATCTGAGAAGGTTACTCAGGGATTTTTTAGGAAAATATTTCAACATTGGATTCTCTTACCCTAACATGAATAAATGTAATACTTGCATAGAATTACAAAACCTTATTCAAGTGGAAGACAAAAGGTGTCTAAAAATGAAGGTAGAGTTACACAAGAAACAGGCCCAAGGCCTCTTCGAACACCTGCGAGAAAAACCTCAAGGATGTTTGATTTTGAGCTTCAGATTTCAGAACCTTGTTTTGCCAAAAGTAACTGATTAAAGTGGGTAGTATTAACGACAGTTTTACTGTTATAACCTTTCAGTAGTTAGAGGATTGTCAAATGAATCAAAACGAAAAACGAGGTTGCTTCCGTTGTATTCAATGAGTTGAGATCAACTAATCTCTCAGGATATGACTTCATTCGTTTGGTGTCTTATGGTTGCGCTGTACAAAATAAAAATATAAATATTTTAACTATGTGCTTTAAGTTTCTGGATAGCTGTGCTTCAAAAATCATACGAAGAATTGAAACTTTTTTTGTAAAAGAGTAGTTGGGATGATAGAGAAAACATTAAAAAAAGCACAGTTGTAATAAAAGAAGAATATCATGAAATTTTTAAGAAATATGGTACGATTAAGTTGATTGCAAGGGATTGCGTACCGTTGGACTGGAAACAAGAAGCGAAAAGTTTTATGAAAACAGCGCTTCAACTTTATTTCAAAATTTCCAGTGAGTGTACAAATAATAATGCTGATATTGATGGTGATCTTGTGTTAATTTCAATTTTAATCTTACTAAAGTTTAAATATTTTATAAGTGCTAATATTTTACTTATTTATATTTCTAGTTAAATTGCTTTGTAGGTAGGTAATAATACAACTTGAATAAACGATATGAAAATTGGAATTTTAATTTAAAATACCTAATTCTCTATATGAATGTGTTATAAGCATTAAATTTTAGGTTAGGTCTAAACCGAGGGTTCAGACTTTCAAATACAATTTTTTTTGTCATCAAAAGCGGACACCTACCATCACATTTGAATCAAACATGGACATTTACCCATTTTTGTTTCAAAAGCGGACATCTGTATTTTTAAATAATAATTTTATAAAAATTTCATAAATTTTTAAATATTCATAAATACACTTGGGAACGACCTTCACTCCAACAGAAGTTAATCATAGGCTATATAATAATGAGACAGAAATCAAAATTTAAGTGCCAAGACTGCAGAGTAAAAAGAGGATCTAACTGTGGGACATATCACTACTTTCTTTTAGCTAATCTTTTGTGCCCCTTTAAACAATACTACAAAAAAACACCGAAAGTGAGAGAAACAATACTACACAGTACAAAACGAAGATATATAAATTGCAACTTTTATTTCAACCAAGTATCAAACATTTTTTAATCTAGATTAGAAAAGAAACTAATTAAGATGGAAAAAAATATGGATGCAGAACAAGACGTCGGCTTAGTGACACAAAAATGTAACTACATTTTTTCACGTTTTGACATATTTACAGCATTGAACTTACCTTAGTGAGTTCTATTGACCGACGAAAAATTGTATCTCTCCGAGCACTCAAAACCCCAATAAGGAGTTTTCGTAACTACATTTTTTAACAATCTTTTAGTGTCACAGAAATGTAAGTGCTGTTACATTTCTGTGATACTACGTTTTCGTACTATAAATAAGCTGATATTGAGTTACCTTTTTGTGGCATAAATTTTATTGCACTGAATAGTGGTTGCAGTGATGGTAGCGCAATGGGTATCAGTGATAGTAGTGCAGTGGGTACCAGTAATGGTAGTGCCAGTTTGCAATGTAAAAGAAAAAGGAAGGCTCAGCCGAGTACATGGAAGAACAATATACGCAAGAGGTTGACACAGACTATTAATTCCTATATTTCTATTCGAGGCAAAGCAGTTAGTGCAAGGAGTGTAAAACCAAAGGATTGTTCTAAATGCCCCAA